AAACTGTTCCTGATTACACATAGGAAACCTTGGCAAGAGTCGCTGCAAGTCAGAATCAACTTCCTGGCACCCAGTTATTACCCTGTTTCCCCGAAAATAAGACCTAACCTGAAAACAAGCCCTAGCATGATTTTCCAGGATGCTCGTCATAGAAGCCCTACCCCCAAAATAAGCCCCAGTGAAGTGAATCCCTGCTCTCCACCCTTGTGCAGCAACCAGAAGAGGACATGACTGTATTTGAATAAATGTAGATGGTTGTACAAGGAAAAAAATACAAAACATCCCCTGAAAATAAGCCCTAATGCGTTGGTCCCCTTGCCTTGAAGCACAACCCCGCTGCCAAGCCCAGGTTTGAAGCCTCCAAGAAGACCAGAGTTTGCATTTCGCCCTCACCAAGGACAAAGAGAGAAGTCTGACAGTGTCTCTCTTTCCCAAAAAAGGGGAGCTCCAGGACTGAACGGGGCCCAACTCCTCAGCAGTCCCCACGTGGAAAAGGTCCTCTCCCAGAATCCCTCTATCCAGCCCGGTATTCCAGAAGCAGCCAGCCAAAACAAAGAAATCCTTCCATGCTCTGATGTGCAACAGAGAACGCACCACCACTCCAGACTGGCACAGGTAGGGCGACAGCACCTCGATGCAGAACGAGAGGCAGGATCCAGCAGATGGAAGGTTCTTTGGCAGGCCGAAAAGCACAAACATCCAACTCAAGATCACACTCAGTGTTGAGCAATGTCATTGGGAACCACACCCCTCGCCATCTCTCTCGGATGCATTTATAGCCTGTCCTACTGAATGCCTCCAACACTTGGGGGGGGGGGAGACACACCCTTCCAAAGTAACTCTTCATTTTAAGCCCAGATTTCCCAAATCAACACAAGTCCAAGGCACCCGCTCAAGGCAGGAATCCACATTCAAGCAGATCCAATTTTGGAGCACTCTCTACTTCCCAAGGTCATGGGTCCCATTGTTCTACTGCTCTAACAGTTAAGAAGTTTTTCCTGATACTCAGCCTAAATCTGGCTTCCTGTCACTTGAGCCCATTATTGTGGGTCCTGCACTCTGGGATGATCAAGAACAGATCCTGCCCCTCCTCTGGATGACAGCCTTTCAAAAATTTGAAAAGCGCTATCCTATCACCTTTCAGTCTTCTTTTCTCAAGGCTAAACCTACCCAGTTCTTTCACTCTTTCCTTATAGGACTTGGCTTCCAGTCCAGTTATAGGGCAACAAAGTACCTTTTCCTTGGCCAACTCATTCCTGCCCAACGGACTGGTTTATGGCACACCTGCCAAAATGGCGCACTTCTTTTCAGTGTCTGCTCCTCTTGCCTACTGCCTGAAATAAGATTCTTAGAAGAAAGCTGGTAGATCATATAAATGCAAACTCAACTGGGAGCAAGCAAATCTCTACCTCCCTTGTTTACGATCCAGACTCAAACAAGGAATCAAGTTTCTTTGAAATCAAAAGACAATCAACAGTTCTTTTTTTAAAAATAGCTTTAATACTTCAAATGTGGTTTTATATTCTGCACACCTTGGTGCTACTAATAAAATTCACAAAGCCCTTCAAATTCATACAAGATTAGTAAATAAAACCGCACTTAAAATAATTTTGAGCATAGTGCAACCAGTATTGTCATCAAGCGATATGCACATTCATCCTGTTGTGTGTTTCATAAAAGCCACACGACACGAGGCTGACTAAATATGCATTTTAACAGTTCTGAGACAGATACAGTCTGCACATCTGCCTATATAGATAAGCATTTCTTATAAACTAGTCTGGTATTCAGGCTAGTTTCATCTATTTAAAAAAAATACCCTTGCTATTCTCTGCACTGATTGGAAAGATCACTCACAATTACTTCGGATTATCTGGCAAAAGGCAGGCGCTTCGACAAACAAAGCTGAACGAACACAGATGTTCCCTTTGGTGCTGAAGTCTCTCCGGGGACACTTGGGAGTCAGGCTGCTTGGTGAATCAGGACGAATGCAGAAGTTCCAGGAGAGCGCCGACAGCTCCAAAATAACCCTGTTTAAAAGGGAACAAAGTGACAGCCCCACATATATAACTAAGGGGAGTCTTAATCAAATGCTCCAAGGGGCCAAATGGCCCTCCTAAGGCTCTTTTTTGAGACCCTCCCCTAAAGGCCCCACTCCATTTCATCACAGCTTCCCCCACCCAATTCCCACTCCCACCCCGGCCCCTTTACATAACCTATTAAACTGTTCTTACTGCAGCCTGCAGAAGGCAGTTCAGGTTTCAATCCAATCAATTATTACGCATGGCGTGAGCTTCATTATGAAGTTGTTGGAGAAAAATACATTTTTAAAACCCTCTTCATTTTGTCTTTTGCCCCAATATTAGACTGGATGGAGGGGAGGGGGAGAAGTGGAGGGACAGAGAAATACGCCTGCATCACAATGCGAGTACCTCATGTTCCAAGAAAAGAGCCTTCAGCTGTCCTTTTGACCAATAATCCAAAGCATATGCCAGAAACTTCATTGAGATTGTATTGATGCGCAAGAAGTTCCCCACAAACACCACTCGATTAATGTTCTGCAAGAAGGGAAAGGCAATGGGAATTAAACTGCCTTTCCTGATTTGGGCGGACAAGCGCCGTCCCCTCCATGACCCACATCAAAACAAAGGCCTTCTTTCAGACAGACAGCAGAGGCACACCGAAACGGGGCAATCCGTATCAGACAAGGTGGGGGTAAAATTTCCTTTGCAGCCTTGCTAACTCAGCTGCCACCCAATTAAACGCATGACCTAGGGTCCGGAGGAAGATGCTGTCATCAACTCAGTGCAGGGTTGCTTGGGCAAGGTTCAATCAATCAACGCAAATTTATGACCCGACACTTACTGGGAATTCCTCGTTCATGGGGAATAATTGCAATCCCCAATCCCCATCACGAATGGGGTTCAACGGGTTACCTGCACCTGTCGGCGTAGGGTAGACACACGCTGAGCCAGTCAGTGTAGCACGTGTGTAGCCCCGGACATCTAAGGGCATCACAGACCTGTTATTGCTCAATCTCAGGTGGCTGAACGCCACTTGTCCCTCTAAGAAGTTGGACGCCAACCGTTCAGGGGCCGCATAACTACTTAGCATGCTAGAGTCTCGTTCATTATCGGAATTAACCTGACAAATCGTTCCACCAACTAAGAACGGCCATGCACCACCACCCACAGAATCGAGAAAGAGCTATCAATCTGTCAATCCTTTCCAAGTCCAGGCCAGTTAAAGTTACATAAATCTTGCCCGTGTCTGGGCAAGGTTAAAGGCTGATAAAGCATCCTGCAGGATTCAAAAGCTAGCTTCCGCCTGTGACATTTCAGTGGTTTAATAAAGGCACTACCTGTCCTTGTTTTCGGGCGGTGGACAAGGACTGTGGAACTTTTTTCTCTGTTATGCCCAGAAGTTAAAAACAGCATGTCGAGAAGATCTTGCTCAAGCCCCTGCGATGTCACAGAAGGATCAAGCCATCCAATTACAGGTGGCCTGGACTCAGGCTTAGTGTATCAAACCTCTGTATGCTGGGAAGGTAGTGGCTTAGTTTGGAGAAAAGAAACCGAGACCTAAGGACAGGGAAAGCTGAGTAAATGTGGAGGAGAGGGACGGCAGTGACCCATGATGAAAGAAATTCACCAGCACCCACAATCTAGCAGGTGCATCCATTCTTTTGGCTTCTAGACACAATCCTCCACACTAAAGAATCGGCGACCACAAAAGCATGAACCATCAGTTACTCCCCGCGAGACCTGAGTTACAGACCACTGAAACGCTGGTATTGAGACCAGCCTTTAAGCTTTGTTCCTCTAAGTCCTGCCTGGAAGAGCCGCCATCCTAGTCTTCTGGAAGCCTCTCCTTTTCCTCTCCCTGCTGAGAGTCCTCAAAATGTTTTCCTTCCATACGCCAGGCATGGAACGCCCGTACCAGCCTTCCTTCTTTATGTCATCACGGAGCACTGTCTAGCTGGGTCAAAAAGGTGCCTGCGGGCAGCGAGATGAGCATCCTCAGTTCTTTCATAGCCCTGTACAATGCTGCTTGACATGGTCGCAACAAGGCAGCACTGTAAAGAAGCTGAAAGCACCAAGCTTTGGTCACGCTGCAGCGGAAACAGAGAGAGATGGACTGATGCTTGCCTTCGGACAGGCTCCTCCCTGGTAGGTTCGGCTTTTTTTCAGACCCCGAGCTTCAGTGGAAGTGGGAATCCGCACCTTCAAACGACAGCCATGTGCTCCTTGCTGCAGGGAGGAGATTCACCAACCCATTCCTCACACTCAGAGGCTTTACCTCCTGGCAGCGGCCTTTACCCCATGGGCTCACCAAGCAGGTCTTCCGTCTCTTATCGATAAACCCAGCGAGAAACTTATGTCTGCTGTCCAGCAATGACCCAAGTGAGTTATTCCCTGGCAAGACTGGGCACCTTATTTGGTTTTGCTTAAATTTTATTTAAGATCTCTCGGCCTATTAATCCCTGCTCCTGAACGGGCGCCCCCGCCCCCTGCAGTACAGGAAAGGACCTCTCTCTCTCCTCCAAATCACTCTGCTGGGCCCGGTGGCTGTTTTCCCCATGCAAAGCTCAGCATTTCAGAAGAACCTATTCATTTACTGATTTCAGCATGTACATACCCACCACCACCAAAGACAGGGAGGGATCAAGTGTGCATTCGCCCTACGCAACATGCACCTCCCTCAGCCAGCTCCCTAAGGGGCTGGAGGTTTTTCTGCCTTACCTCGTTAAGGGCGCACATCCGAGCTATGGAGCCAATGTTGTTGGTGATGGTGATCAAGGCGGCCCTTGCTAGATCCTCTTTACTTGCGGCCTCTCGCTTCTCTTTGCTCATCATGTTTCCAAAGCTGGACAGAAACCAGGGCACACAAGAAAAAGGCTTTCAGGGAGGGAAAGGTGGTCCTTTCGAAAGATCCATGCACGCAAACAGCATGCAAGTAAGAACAGACTGTTTTTCACAGGATCATAGAAAGGAAAGAAATTCCAAGGGTGCTCTGCACCATCCATCTGCTAGAGGGCGCTTCCCAGTGCGCCTCCACCCACCAAATATCACAAGCTGAGTGGAAGCAAGCTGTGAAGCACGCACAGATCCAGGTCGAACCAGAGAAAGAAAGCAAGCAGAGCCCTTTGCCTGGGGGTGGGGGTGGGGGATAAAAAGTCCAGGGCTTTTGTCAACCTAGGATGCTCTAGCAGAGATTTTTCAAAACGCTGCAACGAAGGGTATCCAATCTTAGATGTACTCCATTCCCTTGACTTACCAGGTTCACTAGTGAGAGGCAAAACACAAGCTCTGTTGAGTATGTGAGACCGCGCTTCAATGAGGGTCTCATCTCCCTCCATATGAGTAGTAGTAGCACTAACGGACTAGTAATTGGTCTTCAACTCATCTTTTCCACGTATCCCACACCTAAATTTAATTCCCACCTTTGCTGACAGAAAGAAGATCATGTTCCTCCATGCTTCTGCTCTAAGCCAATTCAAGGGGCTCTGAACATATCTCTAGAGATTATAGCCAATCTCTTATCTACAGAGCCAGGACATTGAACCTGGTATTTCTTTTTTTCCCCCTCTTAAAATATGCTGTGCTCCCTTATGCAAAGCCACTCTGTCTGCAAAGACAACAGCCACAACATCTGGCCAGATTTCCAGACCTTTTGCTTCCTCTTTTGGATCTCAAAATTTTCTCCTAGCCCGATTAAATGTTCTGGATAATACGAAGGAACATCATGTCTGTGGCTCTTTAATCATCGGATAATTCTATTACACAACCATAATGGATCACAATAATTGGTTTTGTTTTTTTTCTGACTCACTTGCTTTTTAACACCGGTTGATTTCTTCCTTCCTCAGCCCACCCCCATCTCGTAAGGCTCAAATCAGGCAAGATGGATAAATGCCAGCCTCAGCAATGACTAAAACACCCTGCCTATCACGCTATCGCTGGCTACCCAAAAGGAGGCAGAAAAGGGTCCAAGCCCAAGGAACAGGTGAGGCCTTACCTGGATGCTACAGTCCAGCCTGGGAGCCCAAACCTCTCATAGTCGCCTCCATAAATATCTCGCACCAACTTGTCCACTTTGGTGCTGTCTCCGTGGGATGCCATCTCGAGAGCCTCTTCAAAGGTAGAGCAGCCAGTCAGAAGGCAGCAAAGACCATAAAAGGTTCCTCCGCCAAGGCTAGGGTGGGGTGGGGGGGACCGAAACAGACAAATAATTTCTGCTGCCTAGTGAAGCATGGAAAGGGGACATAGAAGAACTGGGACAAAACTAGGAACATTGGCTGTAATCCTAACGAATATCAAGGTTAACAAGTTAGTAGCAGATGTCTTGTGGCATGGGACAGCTCTCTCCTGACTCTCACAGGGCCCCCGTGCAGAGGGAACACCTTCCTAGCAATTTTACAAACACCACCCCCCATAAAAGAGCTCAAGGGGATAAGAGTTCACACTCTCACAGCATAAACCTAGACATGTTGTCTCAGAAGGAATTCTCGTTATGTTAAATGAGACTTCCAGGTGGACGAGACTGCAGCCGTGGTTGCCACGTTACCCGATGGCATCAACACGTCCACCAGATCATACACGGCCTTCTCTGAAACTCTGAGGGTCTTATACGTTCCTATGGTCTCAACTCTTTAACTTAAAAAACAAAAAAGGGCTTTCCCCCCCCGAACAAAGTACCTGATGCCCCCTAATGACCAAACTAATTTTTTTTTTAATGGGGCGGAGTGCCAGGGACACTGGGGGGTCCCTGAAGACATGGTAAACTTGCTCCTCTACTTTCTAAAAGGCACAAGGCAACTCTCTTGAGTTGCAACGTTTTGTTATAAAAAGGGGGTGGGTGGATGGCAGAACATGTGAGCCCTTTGGGGGGCGGACCACTAATGACACTCAGAGGTGTTAGACAGAAAACAAAAAACAATTTTTAAGCGTGGGCTGCAGGTCTCCAGCTCACAGCTCCTCAGCTGCCAAAAGACGTCAGGCTCGCTTTCCAGTCTCACCTGGTCCCGGTTACTCGCTTGTAATTGTCTTTGGAATAGACAGCCAAGATGCTGACCCCCGAGCCAATGTTCACCAGGAGGAGAGGATAACGATTCTCCAAGTTGAAGGGCAGCTTCTGACATTTTTCCGGATCAGTTGGGTTTTCAAAATAGTAGCACTCGGAGTGTCCATTGAACCCAACCGAATCAATGTACAGAACTCCTCTGATAAGGCAGTCCAGCTCATCCATTTTGCGCAACTGAAGGTCTCCCACCTGTTTAGAGAAACAAACTTTGAAAAGGAACTAGATTTTATTTTTAAAAATGTCCGGGCTGGGACTGTATCGACTGGTATCACATCAACAACTTTGGGAAGAGTTCCCTTCTCTCCTATAAATTTCCCTTTAGGATTAGTTGGCCTACTGCAAGTTAAGGCCCAATACTAAAGCTACCAATTCTACCTAAAGAATGAAACAATTTTTAAGCAATTTTTTTTAAGATTAAAAATTTGGGAGGATACAGGCGTGGGGGCCCAAAGGTGCTGGAATTTACATATTGCTGATCTAAAGTAAGTACTGTCTATACTGGCTGGCACAGGATCTGACGTGTTAGACAGAAAACTTATTTTCAAGCTCTGCACTGATCTGAAAAGAGGTGAACCGGAGTACGTGTCGCACCCCTAAGCTACTATTCATTCCCAATCATCCTGCCACGCTGGTGGCAGTTCCTAAATACACACAAAGAAAGCAAGGAGGGAAGAATCTCACTAAGAAAACTCCCACTGAAATTGTTTTGAGGAAGCACTGCTTCTTCACACTGAGGACCAAAATGGGATGGCGTGTGGGTGTGACGATGAAAACGGATGTTTGCGAGCATCTTAAGGACACACGGAATCCCCTCATTCATAGTGGAGTTACAGGCGTGTGATCCGTACTCCTTGAATAAGGAATAATAATAATAATAATGAAAAGAGCTGCCAAGCCTGACACACAGTGGATGGGGAGAAAAAAGCCTCGCCCTTTGCTTCACCCGCTCTTTTAAGAGGCTTAAAGAACAGGCTGCAAGTGCAGTTTTGCATTTGATAACTTTCTGAGCAAAAATAAAAAACGCACAAGCCCAACTGCATGATAAACAAGCCATTTTCATCTTTTATCGCCTCAACCGTTAAGTGATCAGCTAAGCTGAAAAAAAATCACAATAGACAAGGCCCACGGGATGAACTGGCATTGTGACGACCCGATTTTTCTTGTCAAGCTATATTTTCACAGATCACAGCATGAATCTGCCCGTTCTGCAAGCATGCACCCAGCCCTGCGTTGCTCTCAGTTTCAAATCGGGAAACAAGACTTCCCCATAGGCATAACTACAGAGAGTAGCCATTAGAAAGAGGAATATTAGAAAGGCATCCACGGGCGCTCAAGCCCCTACTTTGCAAACTTTAACCATGTGCTATTGCTGCTTAACGGTATATAAGCCAAAAATTGCATACTGTCCGAAAGTCCCGCTCAAATTTATAGGCTCCGCCTCCTGTGGCACATAGGACAGTGTGGAGGCTTGAGAAGTGTTTCTCGCGGCCCATTTGAATAAAAGCAGGCATGTCATGAGTAGGAAAGCGTATAAAGTGCAGATTGCCTTTACGTCCACACAGTGTAAGGTCCTTTAGCTCAAGATGAACATCCCGAATCCCTGTAGATCCGTAGGCCGTGTTGGAAGTTAGGTATTTCCGAATGCTCTTCAGATTCTCCACTTCCTCCTCTTCCTCCTCCATGGTAATGTCCTTTGGTTCAAAATAAACCAGCTTCACCAAAGTTCCTCCGATATCCAAGCCAAACCAAGGGAAGGCTAAAGGAATAAGGGAGAAAAGGGTTTTTTTTAAAAAAAAATCACTGTCAGAGTCAGTTGCATTCTATTATAGATCATTTTTAAAAAACACTTATGCTCTACATTGGTATTTCTTAGCCCCTTCCCAGCAAGAGAATGTATGTATATTCTCATGGAATATACAAATATAATCCCACAGAATATTTACAAATATCCCAACCCTAGGTGTAGACACTGCCAATGAGTCATGGGGCTAAGCCCTGTTCAGGTGTTAGAAAATTGGGGGAGAGTATGTCTCTATGTCTGAGAAGGTGGAGCGCAGATGAGCACGTGAGCTTTATACACCATCTGCCTTTTAATAATAATACAGTGTTAGAACTGCAGAGCTGGAAGGCACCCTGTAGATAATCAAGTTTAGCCCCTATCAAGGAGGCCTAGTGGGGAATCGAACTGCCAACCTCTAACCGAGCTACCCAGAAGCTGCCTTCTCCACATGGACAACTATCTACAGCAGGGAGTTTGCTCTACCACTGCAGGCTCTCTGCATGATTTGGAACTATGGAAAAACAGGGTTCTAAACTGCTCAGGGAGCTTCAATGATTCAAAGAAGATTCAGAGGAGCCAGCACTACCATGCTTATCCATGTTGGTCCTCTACAAATACAGAGGCTACATTTTTATATAACTAAAGAGGAGTCACAGAGACATTAGCCATTACAACCAAAGACAAAGATCAACATTTTTTCCCAGCTGGATCTCATAATCTGGTTCAGTGTATTTCGCTGCTGCTCAAAAAGCTTTCAAGATTCTACTATAAAAGAAGTGTGAACAGTGAATTTTTATCAGTAGTATTTTTACACTCATTTCTTACATTTTCACTTGCTCGAGCCTCCCCATTAGCCGACCATGTATCATAAAACTCCATATACCACTTTCTTTTCCATAGTCTGATTGAATTAAATAGCATTCTAAAAAAAAATTGCACTTATTAGTCAAGATGATTGGAAATTATAAGAGATGGATGTTCAAAACCTCTTGGGGGCATCTATTTAAGGAAAAGTAGATGAGATGATCTTGGTAGGAAGTGATATTAGCAAGATCTGATTCTTCCCTGATTCTCAGAATCAGGAAAGTGGGATGTTTAAATCTTTACCTTCCCCCCACCCAATGAGCGTTACTGACTGTGTTAAGAGCTATATTTACTGTTCTAGCATAGTCCTCTTAGACTTTGAAAACAGCCCTGCAGGCACATTTTACAGGATTAGAAGTAACTCTTTCCCACTTCCGCTGCTGTCTTGAACAGAAAAGGCACTAAGATGAAAGCTTTTCAAAGACGAATTTCATATTTATAACCTTACAAGGATTCCTAAAATTAATCCTAAAAGACGACCTAATTTAAATTATTAACTTCAAGTGCCAAACACTAAAAGCAACCAGTCACCACAAACACATGTGCGCGCGTACAAACGGGCTAACCAGCACGGACACAAGAAAAGCAGAGGGTAAACTGCCATAATGGATCAGACCAAAGACCTCTGTAGCTTGCAAGCGGGGCATGAGGGCAACACCTTGCCACAGTTTCCCAGCAGAGAGGGGGAGAGAGAGTCTGTTTTGAGACTATGCAGCTGGCTCAAAACTACAGTGTCTGGCTCTTATCCTGGGAGGAATCTCCGACCCCAAGCTCTGAAATCACATACTCCCAACTCAATGAGCTATCCAAGCACATATTTTCAGCATTACGAGATGCTAATTCACAAGTACTGTACGTAACAATACATTTACATGCATCCACATTTACTGTACACATACCAAGCATTTCATGTGGATTCGAATGTGAAAAAATCTTGTATCTAAATAAATCAGTCTTGATTTAAAATTTATTTGAACCATTTTTACCCCACCTTTCTTTTTAAAGATACCCTTTAACTTATCAAAGGACGTCCATTTTTTAAATTTTTGTTCTCTTTTTGAATGATATCATTGTTATGAAATGGGAGTATCTAAATATGCTGCATGTCCCTAACATTGTGGCAAAACAAAACTATTTTGTTGCAAGTACAGTACTATCACGTTGTTTCCACTTCCATTTTTTTCCTGGTTTCTCAGATGGCAGAAAACTCAAAATTCATATGCTGATACAAACATATGGGGCAGCAGCTGTAGAGCAACAACAACACCCTGTTTCCCCAAAAATAACACCTAACCACAACAACAACAACAACAACACCCTGTTTCCCCGAAAATAACATCTAACCTGAAAATAAGCCCTCGTATGATTTTTCAGGATGCTCCTAATATAAGCCTTACCCCAAAAATAACCCCCACTTAAGTGAAACCCCGCCCTCCACCCTTGTGCAGCAACCAGAAGAAGAGGACAGGGCTGTAAACATCCCCTGAAAATAAGCCCTAATATATTTTTGGAGCAAATATTAATATAAGACCCTGTCTTATTTTCGGGGAAACACGGTATAGCATCGTCAGTTCTGACTTATCGTGGCCCTTTTCACCATTGTCAGTTCTGACTTATCGTGGCCCTTTTCAGGGTTTTCCATACAGAGAGTCCTCCGAAGTTGTTTCCCCTTCCCTTCTTCTGGGGGTTGCCCCGGGACTATTGTGCAGCTGGCCCAAGACCACCCAGGCTGGCTTTATCCCCAGGAGGCACCGTGGGGAACACAACTGCCAACCTCTGGCTCTGCAGCCAGATAGCTAAACTACTGAGCTAGCCAGCCAGCTAGCTGTAATCTAGTTTATGCTACATATTCTTCTGCAAAACTAAGGGATTTATACTTTTCAGGCTGCAATTCCAACTGTGCTTGGACCAAACGCCACTAACCAGGATGGGTTTTATCTGTTGGTATGACAACAATAAATTGCAGTGTAAATCTTAGAATTATACCACATGGTATAGTTCTATTGGCTAACTATCCATTTCAGTATTTATTTAATGTTCCTAACACAGTAAAACAAAATTTAGACTTGCCAAGGAAGCACTGCACCTATTTTTATTTCCTCCCAATTTCCATTTTTCCCACTTATGGTTCCAAACTTCCAGAAAGTTTACATTTCTTAGAGGTATGGACACCCAGTAGCAAACTGTGCCATCCTTAGGGTTGCAAAAGTATCACAAAGACTCAAAGCCAGGAAGTAGAGAAATACTGCCAGATTTATTAGAATATTTTCAGATCACACTTAAGATTTAGAAGGAACCGAATTGCCACTTTTTGGTCTCACAGGAGAAACTGTGCTAGTTCTGGAGTAGTTACAACATGCCCACCAGACACATCACAGGAGACAAGATGCTAAGCTAGTTTACGTCTGTTGTGATTCAGACAAACATGTACTGTATACAGAAACATGTCTTTAAATAGGCCACACTACTGAGATGCAAACCACTGAAGCTACACCAACAATGTAATTATAAGTCCGCTGATAGGTCAAGGCCTCTATCTTCTCTGCAGTTGTATCAGCTCCAACAGAAGAAATGGAAGTTTAACAGCTAATAATTACTATTCAATCCATCTAACATTCAAATCTTTGGTACCAAAAAAGTAGGGTGGTGTTAACAAGATGCAATTCAGCCAATTCACACATTACAAAACCCGGCATAATCACTGCAGCTGACTGTCAACAGCCCCTTTCAATTTTCTTCACCCTGAATTAATTATCATCTGCAATTACACTGATGACATCATTCTCTAAATCCGGCTCACAATACATCCACACCTGCTTCTGCTATCCTTCCAATGAGATCTCACTGAACCGACCACCGGCACTCAATGAGCCCACACCCTAATCTATGCCATTTCATTTCCTCAAATTCCCTGTAGATCTCCAATTTATACACATCAAATAATCACATCCTTTTAACCTTGGATTAATTGAAGTGAAATAATTTCCACCCATGAAATGTCAAACCACAACTGTCGGCATGCTTTTGTGACAACGAGAGATGGTCATGAACCACCAGATGGGCAGATTCGTGCCCATCTCTGGTAACAACTAAGAGATTCTGTGCACAGTCAAGATTTGAGCCTGCAATTTCATAGTTGCTGTCCTGAGATGGCAACCTCTTGTCTAAACAAACAGGAACTTTCAGAGTTTTCCAGCTCCCCAGTTAACCAACAATACCAAGACATTATTAATGCAGTCCTGATGCACATTCTGGAAGAGGAGCTGTACTCCTTTGTCCCAGCAAACAGAAGGATGCATGTCATGGTTGTTGTTTAGTCGTTAAGTCATGTCCAACTCTTCGTGACCCCATGGGCCAGAGCACGCCAGGCCCTCCTGTCTTCCACTGCCTCCCAGAGTTGGGTCAAATTCATGTTGGTCACTTCGGTGACACTGTCCAACCATCTCGTCCTCTGTCGTCCCTTTCTCTTCTTGCCTTCACATTTTCCCAACATCAGGGTCTTTTCCAGGGAGTCTTCTCTTCTCATGAGATGGCCAAAGTATTGGAGCCTCAGCTTCAGGATCTGTCCTTCCAGGGAGCACTCAGGGTTGATTTCCTTCAGAATGGATAGGTTTCATCTCCTTGCAGTCTAAGGGACTCTCAAGAGTCTCCTCCAGCACAATTTCAAACGCATCAATTCTTCGGTGGTCAGGTACAGACTAACAAGTTTAATATAGTTTAGAAGCTATATTTAGAGAGATAAAGA